CTCATCCTGAGACCCCACCGTCATCACCTACCTGGGACGCAGGCTCCGGCCTATCCCAGCCCGCGACCCCGGCCACACCAGACAGGCCTCTGCCCTCCTGTCTCCATTCCCAACTCTGCCCCTCCCCCCACCCTCCGCGGCCCTCAGACCAGCCAGTGGGCAGCCCAGGCTGGACACGGGGATTGCTGGAAGGTGCAGGGCAGGGGGGAACGGGGGTGCACAGGCCCCAGGGGATGGGAGGGACTGAGCTCTGTAGTCCTACTATCTACCCTGCCACCACCAGCAGTGGGGACCTGCAGGGCCTGTCTCCCCAGACCCACCTAGTAGTCACTCGGGGCAGCTGCGAGGTCAGAGTCACATCAGCAACTGGATGCCGTGCCTCTGAAGCCCCGGCCCCAGCCCCGCAGCCCTCCCTGCAGGCCTGGCCCCGCTCCTGGGAGCCTCAGCCCCACGTCCTAGGAGCACAGGTGTGCCTGCAGCCCTCACCTGCACAGCTCCGTGCCAGCCTCCTCCAGCTCCTGGGGGGACAGGCAGGCACCGGCTGCCCGCAGCAGCCCGATGACACCCCGACGCCTGCCATGAGGAGGCGCGTGCCGAGCGTGTCCCCGGCAGCCGGGGCTGACGCGGGCAGGGCCTCAGGCCTAGGGGCCCGCAGTCGCCCTCGATTCGTCTGGATGTCCTGGCTCTTCAGGGCGTGGCAGGTCTAGGGCCCCCCAGCGCCCGACTCCACGCGGGGCGTCCTCCAGCCCTGGCCGAAGAGCATCTCCAGCCACCCCACCGTGGTCTCCCGCCCATCCTGAGGGCTGCGGCATTCCCGCGGGTACCAGGGGACAGCCCACGCTGGGGGACAGTCTTCACACCAAGCTGCCCATGCGCCCTGGCCAGCACCGGGCCTGAGGAAACCGAGTCGACCAGGCCCAGACTCTGCCCTCGGGGGCGGGTGGGGGTGAGACATGGGCAGACAAGTGTGGACGGTGGGGTCGGGGTGGCCCAGAGCCAGCGTCCAAAGGCTCTGTGGCCGGGGCCAAGCCTGGGCCGCGCTGGGGTGAGCCGGCCGTGGGGACAGGCGTGGGACGGTGGGGCTCCGCAAAGCCGAGGAACAGAGGGGGCAGAGGCCACGGCCGACAGCTTGCTGCAGTGGGGGACACCTTGCTGGCTGGCCACTAACCAGCCTAGTTCCCTGGCTGAGTTGGGGTGGGCCTCAAGTTAAGTGGTCCCCCACTTTCAGGGAGGAGGGTGGCACCCCCAGGCCTAGCTCTCCACCCCCACCTGCAGGGAGCTGTTCTGCTGGGCAGGACAGTGAGGTCGGGAGACCGGTTTGGGGGGTATTGTGACAGCCAGGCGGGCGGGGATGAGGGGCTGGGGCTGGGATGGGGTGAGCTCATCGCGTCCCCACCCACGCCCCGGGATGCAGCCTCGGTCTCCAGCCAGATGGCCAGGCTGCCTGGGGTGCCCCGCACAGCCCCTCGCCCACCAGGCCTATTCTGAGGACCATGCTCACAGGAGCCGGGGAAGGAAGGTGTGGCCTCATCGCCTTGTCTCCAAAGGTGACACACGCCACCCTGGCGTTCACGGAAGAGACGAGGCCGCCCAGAGCTTGACCCTAACTTGTGGCCTGGGATGAAGACACTCGCCTCCCCCAAACGAGCCAGGGTCCTGCGGGCCACGCTCCCCGACCCTTCTCCCTGGGGAGACGTTCCGAGGGGAGCCGGGGGTCTAGAGAGGGCAAAGGGGCACCCCAGCAGGTGGCACGTGGGCCTCCTCAGGCCCCCATGGCCGGGCCACCTGCCGAGGGGACGGGGTCAGAGCGGGCAGGGGAGGGCGGGACGTCCCGGGCCCCTGGACCCTGGTTGGCGACCGTCCGCTTGTGCGTGATTTCATTCAGCACCCCCGATCCTCACACACAGCCCCGTGAGGTGCAGCCCCTAACACGTGCGTGCATGTCACCGAAGCCCTAGACGAGGCCACGAGTGACCCCGGCCACCAGCCCTGGCTGCGGGGTAGACCCCCACTCTTCTGCCCGGCGTCATGTGTCATCTGCTCGTCCTCTGAGGAGACCCTAGCCCGACCTGGCCCTGCAGCCTGCTTGATACCTGCCCCATCCCGGTGCTGGGGGGGGCCTTCTGTCCCTGCCCCCCACCCCAGCCCCACAGGTGTGCGTGACAACCTACAGAACACACGCGAGACCCCTTCTATTGTGTCTGAGTGTTTTTCTTTTCCAGGATCTTTGATACAGGGTCCTTCTGGGCCTGCCTGGCTCAGCTTGGAGGGTACCTCCTCCAGGAAGCCCTCCTTGACCACCCTGTCCAGAGTAGGCCCTTCATGGTCACTGCCAGTACCCAGGGACGAGGCTGGGGGTGGGTGAGGCTCTAGCAGGCAGGCATCCTTGGCCCATCCAGCTCCTCCTGGGGAAGCTGTGTGACCACAGGAAACTGGCGGCCCCTCTGCAGCTCCGTCCAGGCCTACCCCACACATCGCGCCTGCCCACACGTCCACCGCAGTGTCCCCCGAGTACCTGCCCCTGACGGCCAGCAGCAGCGGGCTGAGGCCATCCTCATCTCGGGCGTCCACGTTCACCCCTTTCTGCAGCAGCATGGCGACCACACCAGCATGGCCCCCCCGGGCGGCCGCGTGCAGCGGAGTTTGACCGTTAAAGTCCTCCAGGCTCAGGTCAGTGCCCTGCAGTGATGCAAGGACATGTCCCCACTGAGGAAGGCCTGGGCAGGGTCAGGTAGGTCATGGGGAGGAAATGGGAAGCGTCGGGGGCCCCCTGAGTGGCAGCGAGGCCGCATGAGCTGGCTGCCCAGCCTGGCGGCCCAGGGCATGGGCGCCCTGCACCCCCCACCCCGGGGCCTGGCGTGGCAGGCTGGTCCCTAAGGGGCTAGGGGCTCACCAGCTCTGCCAGTGCCTGCAAGGCCTCCAGGTCACCAGCACGGGCCGCGGCACAGGCCAGGCTCGGTGTCAGGGTGTCTCGAACAGCATCTGACTCCTGGAGTGGGGGACGGCAGCACCCTGGGACCATGTCTTCCCCTGGGGCCCTCGGCACCCCCCACCCTGGAAGCAAAGCCCAGGACATGAGGCCACCATCTGTCTCCATCCTCACTAGCTGTGTGGCCAGGGCCTGTTACCCCTCTTCTGAGACCCGTTTCCTAGTCTGTCTCCAGCAAGGACTCAGGGACACAGCCATCGCAAGGCACAGGCTTGGGGAGCACAGGGAGCAGTGCCAGACACACCCCCCCGGCACCGGGAGTGCAGCAGGCTTCCCAGGAGCCCCCCAAGACGCCAGAGGGCCGGGGTCCCAGCAGAGCCCCATCCAGGCTCGGCCCCATGCCCACGGCTGGGCCTGACCACACAGCTGCCGCTGGCCACCTGTACGCAGGTCATCAAGGCCGGACGCAGCCACCTTAATGACAGGCCGGACGCAGCCACCTTAATGACAGGCCACACACCCTGGCCCCCCACGTGACCATCACCAGCCCCAGGCGAGTGGCAATTAACACCACCAAATCTCTCCACCACAGGCCCGTCCTCACCCGTGCTCTGAAGAGGGGAAACTGAGGCACGACCCCAGACAACGGTGGACTCAGTGCTCTGTCACCCGCTGGGCTCCCCTGCCGGGCCAGAGGCCAGGCGGGTATGTGACGGGGGCTTCGGGAGGCCCCGATAACCCCTGCGGGCCTGGCCCAGCCTGAGCCCCCAACCCCAGACCCTGAGACACGTCCTCGGCTGCCCTGCCCCTCCTGGGTCTGGGAGCCCCAGTTGAGAAAGGGGAGGGGAGCTCGAACCCAGGGCCCCCACCTCAAGAAGCCCCAGTGCCCAGAGCCTGCAGACCCTGGGCGGGCGACCCTCCCTCCCAGCACCCAGGACCTCAGTGCACCTACCCCCGGGGCCAGGGCCAGTGCCAACGGCCAGCCCGGCACGGCCCCCAGAGTGACTGGCCACATGCTACGCATGGCAAAGCCTCCCCTCTCCTGCCCTGGCACCGCCCCACACGCTGCCCCATGAGCCCCTGCGAGTCCTCCCACCACAGACCCAGGCCCAGAACTAGGCCGCACTTGGGGGTTTTCTGTTCCTGTGCTGGAATGACGTGGCCGTGGCTGGCGCCTGGCACATCCAGCAGGACCCGCCCTTAGGCCCCACGCCGTCCACCCACATGGGGCAGTACCTGGCTCAGACTGAGGAACTGGGCCACCCCAAGGCGCAGCGTGCTGCCACAAAGTGGGGGCGGGCCCTCATCCACCGCGGGCAGCGTCATCTCTCCCCGAAGGTCCCTGGCCAACAGCTGGGGGAGAAGCACGGGAGAGCCAGGGCCCCGGCCCAGCAGCACAGGCCGGCCGCGTGGCCAGGCCCCATGGTGGGTGTGTGGCGAGGGCTGCCCCTCAGGTTTGAGTGTGGCCCAGGCCAGGTTCCTCAGGCCAGCCCTACCCTCCATCCCAACAAGCCCAGGGTCCCCAAGACCCCAGAGGGCCTGCCAGACTTGAGGCTCCCCAAGGTGGAAGGACAAGCCGGGCCTGGGCTTGGGGTCAGCAAAGGGTGGGGGTAGCTCAGGCCCCAAAGTTGGCCCTTTGTACCATGAGGAGCCCCGTACCCCTGCCCCCTCCCCACTCCTGCACGAGGCCCCACTGTCTGCCTGAGTCACCACCCCCGGCACGCCCTTGGTCCCATGACACGTAGCCCACAGCCAGAGGAGCACACACCTCCTTCCTGCCATCCACGCTCAGCCCGGGCCGGCCCAGCACGTAGGACAGCTTGGCCAGGGCGGCCTCTGACGTCATGTCGAAGCCGGAGACGATGCCAGCTCCTGCGGCCGCCTGTGAAGAGGGGCCATGGGTGGGAGGTGGGTTACGGGCTCCCAGCCCGGGTGGCCCTGTGCCCCCCGGCCTGTCCCCTGCCTCCCCAGGCCTCGTCCTCCGCCCCACCATGCCAGCTGCGTAGTGCGAGGTCACGGAGCCCTGCAGGCAGTGCGTGCAGTTGAGGATGATGAGGCCGCGCTCGGCTCCTGCAGCAGGTCGGGCTTGGTGGGCCCATTCCCAGAGCCGAAGGTCTCCATGACCACGCCCTTCGGGGGGGCTGCAGGAAGGCCCGAACCTGTGGGAGGCGGGGGCGGGGGGGGCGGTAAGGGCCTTTGCTTCCCACTCCGGCAACGCACAGTCCTGAGTGTAGCCACAAACAGCAGGGGCCTCAGGGGGCCCGACAGGCTACTCCCCACCGAGCACTCTTGGGGACTCCTCGTGCCTGCTGTGTCCAAGGCTGAGGCTGGTGTGGGGACAACCAGGACAAGGTGGGAAGGGGGCGGAGAAGGTCGTGGGGAGCGGCCGGGACGGCATCTGTCCCCAGGCCCCCAGGCTCTGACTCCCCCCCACACACACAGCCCGGGTGCTTCTGAATGCCGGTATCTGGGGAAGGCCTTGCAGGTGACACACTGCAGCACCCCCGGTTCTGTTGCAAGCCAGGCACCAGCCCCCCGCATCCCACGAGGCCGGAAGTCCCCACTCAGAAGACAGACAAATGGGGCCATGGGTCCACCTGGCTCAGGACACTGTCCCCCAGCTCAGCCTTGCCCGTCTCTGCGGGGGTGAGCGCAGGGAGGCAGGGTCGTGGCCCTTTGTCCCCGCTGCCACCCCTCCCTGGCTACAGCAAGCATGTTCTGGAAACCTCCTGAGTGACCGGGCAGGGCGTGACTTCACGGGCCCAGGAGGAATCTGCGGTGCTCGGCCCCACGTCACATGGCAGCCTCGAGCAGTGACCGCCACAAACGTGAGGCCCGCCTCATAGGCCAGGACCTGCCCGGTGGTGAGAGGCCTGTGCACAGGCTCCCTATCCAGCCACCCGGTCACCAGTGTCGGCTCCTGGGAGGATCCCATCTGTCAGACCAGCCCCACTGCGGCTCGGGCCCGTGGGCCAGTGTCACAGGTGCTGTCCTCAGTGCCCTCGAGGACCCACCCCCTGCCTTGAGCATCTCTGCCCTGGGAGAGAAAAGCTCATCACAGACCCTCAGGCTGCAGCTGACCTGGAGCCCCAGAGGGCGCGTGATGGCAGGCGGTAGGGGTCCTCAGAGGCCCGGGGTCCCAGGTGCAAGGGGGCCCTGCCCCAGCTCCCAGGGACAACGTCCAGGGTGAGCCCTGGCCCAGGCCCTGGTCAGGCTGTGCCGTTTGCTGTCTTCCTGCCGGGCCTCCCACAGGGCTTGGTCATGGCTCCCTCATTCACCAAATACAGCGGAACGCCCACCCTGTGCCGGGCCCCACATGGGCCTGGGGGACACGTGGTAGACAGACTGCCCCGTGTGTCCCCAGAGCCCTGGAGAGGATTGGGTACCGGTTCACAGACTGCGGCCCAGAGGTGAGCAGCAGCCCAGGGCCGAGTGCTGGAGGCCATGGCCTTCTGCTGCCCCACTGGGCCACCCTGTGTGTGGGGACACACCGTGAAGCCACCATGCGGCTAGAAGAAGGGGCCACAGACCTGAAGCAAGTGCTGTGGGCCGTGGCGCCTGCTGCCCCTCCTCCCTGCGGCCACAGAGCCATCGGCTCTGGTGCCAACACCCCTGCATGCGCCCCGGCCACGCCCAGAGGGGCTTTTAGCTCAGAGACACTCAACGCGATGCCCCTTGTGGCACCTCATGAGCCCAACTCACAGAGCAGGACAGAGGCGGGTGATGTGGCTACAACAGTGATAGTGAGTGGCTGAGGGTAGATGGCAGGGAGCAGGCAAAGGACCACAGAGCAGCCACAGGAAGGGTAGGGTCCTAGGTCCACGCCCATCAGCCCCAGAAAACCCGGAGAATCAAGTGCTGTGACTCCGCAGGTGTCCGCAAGGACAAGCCCACACCGCGCCAAAGCTGAGGCTGGGCCCGAGGCCTCGGCGGACGGGCGGATGGGGGAGCAGGTCCCCGTGGAGTGTGCAGGTCCCAGGCCTGAGGAGCTCGATGCGACTGTCACCCTCTGAGGGCTGGCCTTGGGTGGGAGGAGGGGGCAGCAGGGTGGGAGGACGGAAGGCAGGAGGGGCGGGCTCTGGGGGGCC